ACTTACCAATCGAAAATGTTTTACTGAAGGGCTAATTGAGTGACTGTCAGTGACTGACATAACAAGAACTGCTGACGCACAACTACATTTCGAAATTGCACCTGCTGTATTCTACAATTGTAACGCACAACAGTAAGTTGAGACCCCGACTGAGTTCCTAAAAAAGCTGGGGGCCCCCAAGCGGCCGAGGCCCTATGCCCAGGGGCGGCCCTGCTATAGGTAGAATCTATAGGTAGTTTAAAAGGGAAATTCAGGATTGGTACATACATTTTTTGACTTTTATTTAGCCATTGATTCTTGAATATAACTTGAATTATGGACTGCATGTTTAAGTATGTGGCAGAGCAACACCACATTAAATATACATTTATTGTGCAATTATAGCCTTGGGAGAACATGTTTCTAGAGAATAATTGCTCCACCTCAAGCAGGTATCCTCCTGGATTTAGCTACCAACTGACCATCTCAATTCTGTGAAAAACAAAAATAAATAATATAATAACTGGAAAACGCACCTCTTGTTTAAAAATATGATCAAACTCTGGTAGGTCTCCTCAAAAGATGTAGGATCTTAATTTGAGCCAGTTTGCCACAGCAGGAAAATAATCCTGCAGCAACAGGAAATGTGAATTATTATGTGGATTATAATTCTTGGACATTTTCTATAGGGGTTGATAAATTTTTCGTTAGGGCAAATCACGTCTGCCATTTTAAAGTTGAAATTACAAACTTTAGAAGCCTTTTAAAACTTTTAATACACTACACGTTTGCATTTCCTGCTATGCAGGAACAAAAGAGAGATCAAATTAAGATCCAACATCTGTAGGACTTACCCATTGACCGGCATCTCAATAAAAAAAAACTAAACAAACACAGAATTTAATAACAGAATAATTGGAAGATGAGTATCTCATTTGAAAATATTGCCGTGGCTTGCCTTTAATCTTTGAGGGAAATGAATTAATATAACATACCTGAGTGAAGAGAGGTCAGAGACCAGGTAATGTACAGAGAAATATCAAGAAATTACAGGGCAGAGTGAATGATTCCTTCTGTTATTTGTGCAGTCTACCATAAGGTCGTACGAAGAAAAAAAAAGATTCAAGGTTTTATACAGTATGTGCATCGTGCACTGCTTGTCCAGAGTGGTTATAAAGAGATGATTGTCCCTGTTCTTGACCTCACATATATAGCTCATCCCCCGAACAGAGATGACATGGAACAGGGGAAGCATGGCCCTAACGTGCCTACTGCTGCTGAAGATGCAGAAGGTGAGATATGAGCAAAATACTGTATTGAGACTGTATCTGTTACAGTGCCTTGCAAAAGTATTCATCCCCCTTGGTGTTTTTCCTATTTTGTTGCATTACAACCTGTAATTTAAATTGATTTTTATTTGGATTCCATGTAATGGACACACACAAAATAGTCAAAATTGGTGAAGTTAAATTCAAAAAAATAAATAACAGAAAAGTGGTGCGTGCATATGTATTCACCCCCTTTGCTATGAAGCCCCTAAATAAGATCTGGTGCAACCAATTACCTTCAGAAGTCACATAATTAGTTAAATAAAGTCCACCTGTGCGCAATCTAAGTGTCACATGATCTCAGTAAAGATACACCTGTTCTGAAAGGCCCCAGAGTCTGCAACACCACTAAACAAGGGGCACCACCAAGCAAGCGGCACCATGAATACCAAGAAGCTCTCCAAACAGGTCAGGGACAAAGTTGTGGAGAAGTACAGATCAGGGTTGGGTTATAAAAGAATATCAGAAACGTTGAACATCCCACGGAGCACCATTAAATCCATTATTAAAAAATGGAAAGAATATGGCACCACAACAAACCTGCCATGAGAGGGCCGCCCACCAAAACTCACGGACCAGGCAAGGATGACATTAATCAGAGAGGCAACAAAGAGACCAAAGATAACCCTGAAGGAGCTGCAAAGCTCCACAGCAGAGATTGGAGTATCTGTCCATAGGACCACTTTAAGCCGTACACTCCACAGAGCTGGGCTTTACGGAAGAGTGGCCAGAAAAAAGCCATTGTTTAAAGAAAGAAATAAGCATGTGGGAGACTCCCCAAACATATGGAAGAAGGTACTCTGGTCAGATGAGACTAAAATTGAGCTTTTTGGCTATCAAGGAAAACGCTATGTCTGGCGCAAACCCAACACCTCTCATCACCCCAAGAACACCATCCCCACAGTGAAGCATGGTGGTGGCAGCATCATGCTGTGGGGATGTTTTTCATCGGCAGGGACTGGGAAACTGGTCAGAATTGAAGGGATGATGGATGGCGCTAAATACAGGGAAATCCTTGAGGGAAACTTGTTTCAGTCTTTTAGAGATTTGAGACTGGGACGGAGGTTCACCTTCCAGCAGGACAATGACCCTAAGCATACTGCTAAAGCAACACTTGAGTGGTTTAAGGGTAAACATTTAAATGTCTTTGAATGGCCTAGTCAAAGCCCAGACCTCAATCCAATTGAGAATCTGTGGTATGACTTAAAGATTGCTGTACACCAGCGGAACCCATCCAACTTGAAGGAGCTGGAGCAGTTTTGCCTTGAAGAATGGGCTAAAATCCCAGTGGCTAGATGTGCCAAGCTCATAGAGACATACCCCCAGTGGCTTGCGAAAGTATTCACCCCCCTTTGCATTTTTCCTATTTTGTTGCTATTTTTGGGGGGTTTGTATCATTTCATTTACACAACATGCCTACCACTTTGAAGATGCAAAATATTTTTTGGGGTGAAACGAACAAGAAATAAGACCAAGAAAACTGAAAACTTGAGCGTGCATAACTATTCACCCCCCCAAAGTCATGACTTTGTAGAGCCACCTTTTGCAGCAATTACAGCTTTAAGTCTCTTGGTGTATGTCTCTGTAAGCTTGGCACATCTAGCCACTTGGATCTTTGCCCATTCTTCAAGGCAAAACTGCTCCAGCTCCTTCAAGTTGGATGGGTTCCGCTGGCGTACAGCAATTTTGAATTGGATTGAGGTCTGGGCTTTGACTAGGCCATTCCAAGACATTTAAATGTTTAACCTTAAACCACTCAAGTGTTGCTTTAGCAGTATGCTTAGGGTCATTGTCCAGCTGGAAGGTGATCCTCCGTCCCAGTCTCAAATCTCTGGAAGACTGAAACAGGTTTTCCTCAAGAATTTCCCTGTATTTAGCGTCATCCATCATTCCTTCAATTCTGACCAGTTTCCCAGTCCCTGCCGATGAAAAACATCCCCATAGCATGATGCTGCCACCACCATGCTTCACTGTGGGGATGGTGTTCTCGGGGTGATGAGAGGTGTTGGGTTTGCGCCAGACATAGCGTTTTCCTTGATAGCCAAAAAGCTCAATTTTAGTCTCATCTGACCAGAGTACCTTCTTTCATATGTTTGGGGAGTCTCCCACATGCCTTTTGGCGAACACCAAACGTGTTTGGCTTTTTTCTGGCCACTCTTCCGTAAAGCCCAGCTCTGTGGAGTGTATGGCTTAAAGTGGTCCTATGGACAGATACTCCAAACTCCGCTGTGGAGCTTTGCAGCTCCTTCAGGGTTATCTTTGGTCTCTTTGTTGCCTCTCTGATTAATGCCCTCCTTGCCTGGTCCGTGAGTTTTGGAGGGCGGCCCTCTCTTGGCAGGTTTGTTGTGGTGCCATATTCTTTCAATTTTTTAATAATGGATTTAATGGTGCTCCGTGGGTTGTTCAAAGTTTCAGATATTTTCTTATAACCCAACCCTGTTCTGTACTTCTCCACAACTTTGTCCCTCACCTGTTTGGAGAGCTCCTTGGTCTTCATAGTGCCGCTTGCTTGGTGGTGCCCCTTGCTTAGTGGTGTTGCAGACTCTGGGGCCTTTCAGAACAGGTGTATATATACTGAGATCATGTGACAGATCATGTGACACATAGATTGCACACAGGTGGACTTTATTTAACTAATTATGTGACTTCTGAAGGTAATTGGTTGCACCAGATCTTATTGAGGGGCTTCATAGCAAAGGGGGTGAATACATATGCACGCACCACTTTTCCGTTATTTATTTTGTATAATTTTTTTAAGAAGTTATTTTTTTCATTTCACTTCACCCATTTGGGCTATTTTGTGTATGTCCATTACATGACATCCAAATAAAAATCCATTTAAATTACAGGTTGTAATGCAACAAAATAGGAAAAACGTCAAGGTGAATGAATACTTTTGCAAGGCACTGTAATTGCTGCAAAAGGTGGCTCTACAATGTATTGACTTGGCAGGGGGGGGGGGGGGGGGGGATAGTTATGCACGCTCAAGTCTTCTGTTTTGTTGTCTTATTTGTTGTTTGTTTCACCCCAAAAATTATTTTGCATCTTCAAAGTGGTAGGCATGTTGTGTAAATCAAATGATACAAACCCCAAAAAAATCCATTTTAATTCCAGCTTGTAAGGCAACTAAATAGGAAAAATGCCAAGGGGGTTGAATACTTTCGCAAGCCACTGTACATGCTAATTTTGAGTATTGATTTGAGTAGAACCATACAGTATATAGAGATGGATGGTTCTGTTATTGAGTCTTGAGTGTTGTTGAGTGTGACACACTACAATAGCCAAAGTGATATCAATAGCCACTTGTAACTGTTGTACACTGTAGAGTACAGTGAGTGTACAGTGTACAGTGAGATGAAGCTGTAAACAGGAAACAGCTATTGTTTAGTGGTTGGACTGTGGTGAGACAGAACGTGGCTACTGTCATGCAGAGCAATACATTTTTAGCTGCCCCCTCCAGTGAAACCTTTCATAAGTTCATTCATTATATAATTCATTCACTCATGTTTTTGAATTCCAACTAGATGGCTAAAGAGAAGTAGGCTATTCATTACTCAGTAATAAAAACATAGAGCAAAGTGTTACCAAACACACACATCCACACATACCAGAAAATACTGAATGATAGAATGTACTGTACTTGTTATTAGTCTCTTGGTTCTTCCTGACTCATTGTTTTGTTTCCTCTTCCAGGTGGAGATGGTTGGTGGGAAAGTCCTGGAGGAGACCTACATGAGGTGGATCCACTACAAAGACGAGTGTGTGAAGATGATTGACAATGAGCCATTTCCTCAAGGTAAGAACACAACTCGACTCAAATAGATTTGGCATTTAGAAGAGGTTCCTTGGTAAACTTCCCACAGTCTCTCACACAACTGGGAGTAGAGTGCCATAAGTATGGCAAGCAAGACTAATTAAGGATAAAATAGGATGGGTTCCATTGGCATATTTTTGTACTTTTATATTATGAAGTGGCCCATAGGGCATCTGGTGGAACAGTGGTTCACAACCTTCTTTGATTACTGTACCACCGATTGAATTTTGCTCTGCCCAGAATACCCCTGAAGTACCCCCTCACGTGCATTTTACCAGTAAACCTATGGTCTCACGAGTCTTCTCAAGTACCCCCTATGGATAGGCCAAGTACCCCCAGGGGTCCTAGTACCCCTGGTTGGGAACCACTGTGGTAGAATATGTAATTTATTTATACAGGAAACATAGACATATAAGTTTGCATTGAAGTGCAGCTAATTGTAGTTGCCTTTCCTTGGTCAAATGGAATTGCCTCGTAAAACATTCTAAACACTGCACACAACATTGTGGTCAGTCTGGTTGACCAGGCTGCAAATGGAACGCTCATGGTCATGTTCTTTGTCTGTCTCCCAGGCTTGTTCTGTAACAGGACGTTTGACCGCTACGCCTGCTGGCCTGATGGTCCTCCTGGGTTGGTGGTCAACGTATCCTGTCCCTCCTACCTGCCCTGGTTCGACAAGGGTGACTGACCTTTGACTTTCATCTACCTTGTATTGTCGATGGTCATCTATTCAATTGTGATATGATGTCACAGAATAACACCACAAATACAGTGGGGAAAAAAAGTATTTAGTCAGCCACCAATTGTGCACGTTCTCCCACTTAAAAAGATGAGAGAGGCCTGTAATTTTCATCATAGGTACACGTCAACTATGACAGACAAATTGAGCATTTTCTTTCCCAGAAAATCACATTGTAGGATTTTTCATGAATTTATTTGCAAATTATGGTGGAAAATAAGTATTTGGTCACCTACAAACAAGCAAGATTTCTGGCTCTCACAGACCTGTAACTTCTTCTTTAAGAGGCTCCTCTGTCCTCCACTCGTTACCTGTATTAATGGCACCTGTTTGAACTTGTTATCAGTATAAAAGACACCTGTCCACAACCTCAAACAGTCACACTCCAAACTCCACTATGGCCAAGACCAAAGAGCTGTCAAAGGACACCAGAAACAAAATTGTAGACCTGCACCAGGCTGGGAAGACTGAATCTGTAATAGGTAAGCAGCTTCGTTTGAAGAAATCAACTGTGGGAGCAATTATTAGGAAATGGAAGACATACAAGACCACTGATAATCTCCCTCGATCTGGGGCTCCACGCAAGATCTCACCCCGTGGGGTCAAAATGATCACAAGAACGGTGAGCAAAAATCCCAGAACCACACGGGGGGACCTAGTGAATGACCTGCAGAGAGCTGGGACCAAAGTAACAAAGCCTACCATCAGTAACACACTACGCCGCCAGGGACTCAAATCCTGCAGTGCCAGACGTGTCCCCCTGCTTAAGCCAGTACATGTCCAGGCCCGTCTGAAGTTTGCTAGAGTGCATTTGGATGATCCAGAAGAGGATTGGGAGAATGTCATATGGTCAGATGAAACCAAAATATAACTTTTTGGTAAAAACTCAACTCGTCGTGTTTGGAGGACAAAGAATGCTGAGTTGCATCCAAAGAACACCATACCTACTGTGAAGCATGAGGGTGGAAACATCATGCTTTGGGGCTGTTTTTCTGCAAAGAGAAAAGGACGACTGATCCGTGTAAAGGAAAGAATGAATGGGGCCATGTATTGTGAGATTTTGAGTGAAAACCTCCTTCCATCAGCAAGGGCATTGAAGATGAAACGTGGCTGGGTCTTTCAGCATGACAATGATCCCAAACACACCGCCCGGGCAACGAAGGAGTGGCTTCGTAAGAAGCATTTCAAGGTCCTGGAGTGGCCTAGCCAGTCTCCAGATCTCAACCCCATAGAAAATCTTTGGAGGGAGTTGAAAGTCCGTGTTGCCCAGCGACAGCCCCAAAACATCACTGCTCTAGAGGAGATCTGCATGGAGGAATGGGCCAAAATACCAGCAACAGTGTGTGAAAACCTTGTGAAGACTTACAGAAAACGTTTGACCTGTGTCATTGCCAACAAAGGGTATATAACAAAGTATTGAGAAACTTTTGTTATTGACCAAATACTTATTTTCCACCATAATTTGCAAATAAATTCATTACAAATCCTACAATGTGATTTTCTGGGTTTTTTTCCCTCAATTTGTCTGTCATAGTTGACGTGTACCTATGATGAAAATTACAGGCCTCTCTCATCTTTTTAAGTGGGAGAACTTGCACAATTGGTGGCTGACTAAAGACTTTTTTCCCCCACTGTATATTGACCTTTTCATAAAACATATCAAAGTAGGAGTGCTGTTCATATAATCGTATTCATTATGATCTAAATGGCAAAACTGATCCTATTTTAGCACTCCTACGCTGAGACACAGGTCCAATAAATATGCCCATTCAGAACCATTGTTTGCGTGTGTTGCTTTCAGAATAGTGTGTGGGTGTGTGTGGGCAAAAGCTGTATGAATGTTTCTGTGGGAAAATATTTTTGTATGTGCACTCTGAATGTGTATTTATGTGTGTGTGTGCCTGCGTGCATATGTGCGCACACACTGGACATGTCCGCGGGATGTCCAGTGTCTCAGGGTGTGGTGCGTCGGCAGTGTGGCTCTGATGGCCACTGGGTGGAGGAGGAGGACGGGGAAGTCTGGAGGGACATGTCTCAGTGTGAAGAGGAACAGGAAGTCACATCTCAGGAGGTACCTGACAAAAACACTACGGAACAGAAGGCTGATTTACCTGAAGAGCTCAGGGGCACAGTGCTCATTAACACCTACAAGTAAAAAACAATAGATCACTATCTATTGTTTTTTACTTATAGATGTAAATAAGCACTGTGCCCCTGGGCGCTTCAGGTAAATCATCCTTCTATTCCGTCATTTGGAGGGCTGTACTGCTGTCAATTTATGCAGTACCTTGACGCGAAGCCTTCAATGTCTGCAAATCTGAAGGGTCTGGATATTGTAGGTATAAGCAGTGTAGTGATGGAGTATCCACCTTACAGATCTGCAAACATTAATGGATTAAGGCTAAGTGGAATGGCTAGGAAGCAATTTGGGAACGGCTGACGCTTTTAAATGTTAGTTTCAATGCTCAGTGTTTTTCAAGTTGTTTATGTCTTTGTTGGTGACAACATGTGTATATAAAGTACTACTTAACATAATCTCTTCCGACATGAGTTTGCATGATAACGCGATCTGCGTGTTTCCACAGCTGTGGTTCAAGCAGTTGATGGTGAGCTTCAGGATGCTTTACACTGTTGGCTACACCCTGTCCCTCTTCACCCTTGTCTCAGCAGTCATCATTCTACTGAGTATCAGGTACACTTGTCCCTCTCTTCATCACCACTCTTCAAATAGAAACACTGGTCCAGTTCACTCATCTTGACTCCAGTAATCAAGCACTTCCATCAAAGTCATATTTACCACAGAAAGCCCAAAAGGAGGCTTTGGATGAGCATTGTAAAAGCAACCATAGAGAAGTAACAGCATGGGAAGGGGCTGTGAGTGTGACTAAACATAAGGACATCTTGAGAAGATTTCTTGGTAGTATTCTTTGATGATATTTTTTTTGGTAGTAATACTTCTTGCCAATCTGCCTCTATTGTTCCCTGTCAGGAAGCTTCACTGCACCCGTAACTACATCCACGCAAACCTGTTTGTGTCTTTCATCCTGCGAGCCGTGTCGGTGATCGTCAAGGACACCATGCTGGAGCGTCACTGGGGCCGGGAGATCATGAGACAGGCCGACCTAGAAGAAATGCTGAGCCACGAGGTGGGTTGTGGGTTGCAAGTCATCCCATGACATCATAATAGTCCAATCTAAAATAGCACCCTAGGCCATTAAACTTTATATTTACACCTCTGTGTTTCTTGCAGATTTGGAGCTACTCGTAACATTGTGTTGCCAGGGTAGATTTTCCCCTGTGCCTATGTATTGTTGGATATCCGTTACAGTGTATTTGCCAGAGATGATAGTTTCCACTGTGCCTGTTTCGTTGATCGCTATTTGAGTGCATTTGTGTGTCTACGAAGGAATAAACTCTGTATTCGGTGATTACCCTCCTGCGCCTGACTCCTTTCCATCACACTCATCACAGCCATCTTTATATTTATCTCAAGGCTGCCATTGGCTGCAGGATGGCCCAGGTGGTGATGCAGTATTGTGTACTAGCCAATCACTACTGGTTCTTTGGAGAGGCCATCTACCTGTATTCGGTGCTCATCGCCTCCGTATTCATTGAGAACAACAAGTGCTTGCCTTACATCTGCCTCGGCTGGGGTGAGTAACGTATCCTTTGTCTGCATCCAAAATACCACTTCTGCCTTTTTCATCCACGTGTGTCTTCTTAATGCTCATTGTATTTCTTTGTCAGGAACCCCTCTTTTATTTGTCATTCCTTGGATGTTGGCCAAGCTATTGAGAGAAAACAAAGAGTGAGTGTGTGTCCGTATGTCACCTCAATCAGTGCACACTGCATGGCCTATTGTTTGTATTGATTTAGCTGAGACAGGCCTAAACAGTGAATGTCCCAATCTGGTACCCTCAGGTGCTGGGCAGTCAATGAAAATATGAGCTACTGGTGGATAATACGGTTCCCCATTCTGTTTGCGTCACTGGTGAGGGCGGCTATTGGCTCTGTTTTTGTTATGTAAATGTTTCACTGTGGGTGTGCGTGTGTATGTGTGTGTGTGTGTGTGTGTGTGTGTGTGTGTGTGTGTGTGTGTGTGTGTGTGTATTTGCATGCGTGTCTGTGTGCATTGTATTGTTTAGTTTTGGTCTGCATATTTATAGCCTACTTGTTATACATGGCTGTGTATCTGTGTTTGTTTTTGAAAGATTGTATTTGCTACTGTCAACAGATCAATTTATTGATTTTCATGAAGATTTTGAAGGTTATTCTGTCCAAACTACGTGCCAACAATCAGAATGGCTATCCTGACTACAAGCTTCGGTAAGGAAGAAAGACAAGAGACAGATATAATGATATTACATACAGTACCAGTCAAAAGTTTGGACACAACTACTCATTCCAGGGTTTTTCTTGATTTTTACTATTTTCTACATTGTAGAATAATAGTGAAGACATCAAAACCATGAAATAACACATATGGAATCATGTAGTAACCAAATAAGTTGTGATGGGTGATTTGAAGGAGTCAGGCACAGGAGGGTAAATCACAGAATAACTGGATTTATTCCGGAATACAGAGCGCACTGGAACCAACAAGGCACACGGGAAAATAACCTGGCGATACAAAATACAAGGAGCTCCACCGAGCTTCACTCTCCTCACAATAAACAATCACACACAAAGACAAGGGGGCAGAGGGAACACTTATACAGGTACTGATGAGGGGATATGAACCAGGTGTGTGTAATAAACAAGACAAAACAAATGGAATGATGAGATGAGGAGCGGCAGTGGCTAGAAGGCCGGTGACGACGAACGCCGAAGCCTGCCCGAACAAGGAGAGGAGGAAGCCTCGGAGGAAGTCGTGACATAAGTGTTAAACAAATCAAAATATATTTTATATTTGAGATTCATCAAATAGCCACCCTTTGCCTCGATGATAGCTTTTCACACTCTTGGCATTCTCTCAACCAGCTTCACCTGTAATGCTTTTCCAACAGTCTTGAAGGAGTTCCCACATATGCTGAGCACTTGTTGGCTGCTTTTCCTTCACTCTGCGGTCCGACTTATCCCAAACCATCTCAATTGGGTTGAGGTCGGGGGATTGTGGAGGCCAGGTCATCTGATGCAGCACTCCATCACTCTCCTTCTTGGTAAAATAGCCCTTACACAGCCATTGTCCTGTTGAAAAAAATGTATAGTCCCACTAAGCCCAAACCAGATGGGATGTCGTATCGCTGCAGAATGCTGTGGTAGCCATGCTGGTTAAGTGTCCCTTGAATTCTACATAAATCACAGACAGTGTCACCAGCAAAGCACCCCCACACCATAACACCTCCTCCTCCATGCTTTACGGTGAGAAATACACATGCGGAGCATTGTTACCTATCGCTACACAAAAGCCACGGCCCTTCCAGAGCAAGGGAAACAACTACACATGCAGAGATCATCCGTTCACCCACACCGTGTCTCACAAAGACACAGCGGTTGCAACCAAAAATCTCCAATTTGGACTCCAGACCAAAGGACAAATTTCCACCGGTCTAATGTCCATTGCTCGTGTTTCTTGGCCCAAGCAAGTCTCTTCTTCTTATTGGTGTCCTTTAGTAGTGGTTTCTTTGCAGCAATTTGACCATGAAGGCCTGATTCACACAGTCCCCTCTGAACAGTTGATGTTGAGATGTGTCTGTTACTTGAACTGGGCTGCAATTTCTGAGGCTGGTAACTCTAATGAACTTATCCTCTGCAGCAGCGGTAACTCTGGGTCTTCCATTCCTGTGGCGGTCCTCATGAGAGCCAGTTTCATTGTAGCACTTCATGGTTTTTGCGACTGCACTTGAAGAAACTTTCAAAGTTCTTGAAATGTTCCGTATTGACTGACCTTCATGTCTTAAAGTAATGATGGACTGTCGTTTCTCTTTGCTTATTTGAGCTGTTCTTGCCATAATATGGACTTGGTCTTTTACCAAATAGGGTTATCTTCTGTATACCTTGTCACAACACAACTGATTGGCTCAAACGCATTAAGAAGGAAAGAAATTCCACAAATTAACTTTTAAGAAGGCACATCTGTTAATTGAAATGCATTCCAGGTGACTACCTCATGAAGCTGGTTGAGAGAATGCCAAGAGTGTGCAAAGCTGTCATCAAGGCAAAGGGTGGCTATTTGAAGAATCTGAAATATCAAATATATTTTGATTTGTTTAACACTTTTTTTGGTTACTACATGATTCCATATGTGTTATTTCATGATGTCTTCACCATTATTCTACAATGTATAAAATAGTAAAAATAAAGAAAAACCCTTGAATGAGTAGGTGTGTCCAAACTTTTGACTGGTAGTGTACATGCCTCTTCCTTTACCGATGTGGCATCCAATTTGATAGATAAAGGGACAGATGAAAAGAAACAGGGCAAGACATGCGGAAAATGACTTGAGACAGTGAGACAAATTGCCTCCCTGTGTCCTGTCTCCTGATAGCTTGGCCAAGGCGACCCTGACCCTCATCCCTCTATTTGGCATCCATGAGGTCATCTTCATCTTCGCCACTGATGAGCAGACCACTGGCATCCTGCGCTACATCAAGGTCTTCTTCACACTCTTCCTCAACTCATTTCAGGTGAGGAACCTGAAAACCAGGTCACCCAGATCAACCCAGTCAATACAAACCATAGCCTAGCATAGCCTTGCATTATTACCTAGCAAATGAAGCCTATCAATGTTCTGTTTAAACCCAAGTGTTGTGTCTCTATAGGGATTTCTGGTGGCTGTGCTGTACTGCTACTGTAACAAAGAGGTTTGTGAGATTCTGTTGTGTTTTTTCTGTTATGTTACATGTTTTTCTATTGTTTTCCATCCATCAAACTCATCACATGCTGCCCCCTGAGGTGTCCCATCCTTTCCTATATAAGCTGTAATGCACACACTTAATGCCAACAGCACATCCCTGATTGAAGACTCATTCGGCTACCTCAATTATCTGTGACAATTGCTGTAAATTGTCTGGGTTATGGTGTGATGTGAAATCAGATGGGTCACAAGTTGTCAGGAGCGACGTGTATGCGGTGAGTGAAGTCAAGCGCAGGACACAGAGATACTAGCAGACGTACTTTACTAAATGTAAAGAACAAAACAAAACCTCCGAACCGGGAGGGAAAAACAACATACACGAGATATGACAAAAGCGATGCCGATACCGCCTAGACACAAACAATAACACACAAATACCAAACGTGAGACAAGGTTAATTATAGGATCTACAATCAAACATAATAGACAACAGGTGTAACCACTCAAGACAAACACCGATCGGCAGTAGCTAGTACTCCGGGGACGACGAACGCCGAAGCCTGCCCGAGCAAGGAGGAGGAGCAGCCTCGGCAGAATCCGTGACACAAGTATCTGACAGGTTCGCTAGTATCTGAAATAAATGTTAATGACATTCTGAATTACTTTAAGAATGGGCAACTACTATTATTAGATGATTGCCTTTTGAATGTCAGACTTGTTCATTCTAATGTGCGGTAGCTTCAGACCTGGTGTCACGATCGTCAGGGAGAGAAGTAGACCAATGCGCAGCGTGATGAACGAACATGTTACTTTATTTAATTAAAGCACGAAACAAAACAACAAACGACTCGTAACGTCCTTGGTAACAATGACCAACACGGAACAAAAACCCACAAACACAAAGTGAAAAACAGACAGTTTAAATATGGCTCCCAATCAGAGACAACCAGCCAACAGCTGAACTCGTTGCCTCTGATTGGGAGTCACTCAGGCAAACATAGAAAATGAAGAACTAGAACCCCCAACATAGAAAATAAACACATAGAATGAACACACCCTGGCTCAACAAATAGAGTCCCAGAGCCAGGGTGTGACAGTACCCCCCCCTAAAGGCGCGGACTGCGACCGCGCCTCAATACGAGCAAAACAGGGGAGGGCTGGGTGGGCATTCCTCCTCGGCGGCGGTTCTGGCTCCGGGCTTGCCCACCACCCTCCAACAAACCCCCCATAGCGCCCCTGGTCTGGTCCCGCTGACTGGAGCTGGACTGGACGTAGCAGGAACGGTTAGCTTCAACTCCTTAGTGGAGCCGTTGACCGGTACCTGGTTAGGCACCGGTGACCCAGGCACGGGTTGTGCCGGACAGACGACGCGCACCCCTGGCTTGGTGCGTGAGGCAGGAAAGGACCGGACTTGGCTGACGATGCGCACCCCTGGCTTGGTGCGTGGAGCAGCAACGGGCCGGACCGGACTGACGATACGCACCCCTGGCTTGGTGCGTGGAGCCGGAACGGGCCTCACCGGACTTACGACTCGCACCCCTGGCTTGGTGCGTGGAGCAGCAACGGGCCGGACCGGGCTGACGATGCGCACCCCTGGCTTGGTGCGTGGAGCCGGAACGGGCCTGACGACGCGCACCGTAGACTTGGTGCGAGTGGCAGGAACGGGCTGGACCAGGCTGACGACTCGCACCGTAGGCTTGGTGCGTGGAGCAGGGACAGGCCGGACTGGGCTGGCGACGCACACCGTAGGCTTGGTGCGTGGAGCAGGGACAGGCCGGGCTGGGCTGGCGACGCACACCGTAGGCTTGGTGCGAGTGGCAGGAACAGGCCGGACCGTACTGGGAACACACACCACTGGCCCTACGTGGGGATCAGGAACAGGCCGGACCGGACTGGCAACACACGCCAGTACCTCTCGCCGTGCCTCTACAACCTCCTTCCCCCTGGTGACCAGTGACTCCCGTAACCTGGCGGCCTCCTGCTGCCCCGTCGTCCACGGCGTTAGCCCCCCCCTAAAAAATGTATGGGCTTCACTCCTACCCGTGGCCAAGGCCTCCATCCCTCTTGCCAGACTCGCACTCATCTCCTCCCAAGTCCATCCTCTCTCCTCGTCACGCTGCTTGATCCAGTTTTGGTGGGTTTTTCTGTCACGATCGTCAGGGAGAGAAGTAGACCAATGCGCAGCGTGATGAACGAACATGTTACTTTATTTAATTAAAGCACGAAACAAAACAACAAACGACTCGTAACGTCCTTGGTAACAATGACCAACACGGAACAAAAACCCACAAACATAAAGTGAAAAACAGACAGTTTAAATATGGCTCCCAATCAGAGACAACCAGCCAACAGCTGAACTCGTTGCCTCTGATTGGGAGTCACTCAGGCAAACATAGAAAATGAAGAACTAGAACCCCCAACATAGAAAATAAACACATAGAATGAACACACCCTGGCTCAACAAATAGAGTCCCAGAGCCAGGGTGTGACACCTGGCCCCAGGATAAAGTGGCTAAAGCGGCAGTTGAAATCGGCGAGGGGGCTACATTTTGGGGGATTCTTGCATTGGAATGATATTGAATTCTGCTTATATAATCACGCTATTCTACAATAAACATAAAGTTAAAATGCTGACACTCCAAGATCATTGAGTGCTTTTGAAATCTGAAATCGCTGCTGCACTGTATCAGCACAATGGACAGCGCCCTACAGCTAGCCCGTTATGGTAATGAATATTGGCTACAAGATAGATAGGGCAATTCACCTATTACAAACAGCCTATGTGAATGCACCCATACACACAGCTGTTTTACCAAAATAATGCAAACTAAATGCTGAAAGTAGTAGCCTAGTTATTCATGCATGCAAACATAAATACTGTGAATGCGAATGAATGTGAACAGAACAAAACAGCGGTACCAAGTAGTAGGCCTTGTAAACAAAATATCAGATCAATAAAGGCATGACACAATCTATATTTAGGCTAATTACATGAACAGTAAACAAACACAGTAAACAAAAGGCGAATGGAGATCCAAATAACCAAAACCAGCCATGCACAGCTGTCTTGCCAAACAAATAGGCCTATACAGGCCCGCTTCAAACATGGAACATCATACCACTCGCTCATGAATTCAGCAACAGGTTGTGATATGGCACAATACACTTCTGTGAATCAAATTCGACCCACGTAGTCAATTAAGCAATGCCAGACTACCATAAACATGTTTCCAATGCGTACAGTTCCATTTACAGCAATGAAAACCAATTGGCTACTAAGAAAACCATAGTCGAATGTAGCCTATCTATTTCTATGATGAAACATACCGATATGTAGCTATACCCAGGGGCGTCATTTGATTCTTGCATTAAAATTATATTGAATCCGGCTTATATCACGCTATACCACTGACTAAGTGACAGGTTCAATGGCACGACATCTCGCTGCGCTCTATCAACACGATGGACAGCGCCCTACACACTAAAGGAAGATTTTGATCAAAACCAACCAGCTAGATTGTTTCAATCTTACCTTTTCAAAAGAGTTGCAGTTTCTTTGATGCTCTGTGGAATTTCCTGAGTAATCGATCATTCCATTCTCCCTGAAATCTTCTTGTGAGATCCCCCTCAAATGCCAGTTGGATTAGTTGAGTTTTCCTTGGGTGTAGCATGTTTATTCTGTGCTGACTGGACGCCCCAAAAGTCAGTCCATGTTTCAGTGCAGTAAGCATGGTCGGCATAGCGGAGAGAGGCCCAGAGAATCGTTGCAGGATATCAAGTGGGGTCCATTTGTCCTCATTGGAGCCAGAACGGGCGATTTCAGTCTGCAAAAACTGGCGAGCGACACTAAACTCAGCTTCCACCAAATCTGTTTTGCTTAGATCCAGCAGTGGATTCACCCTTTTCACATTTAGAAAGTCATGGCTCTCTGGGTCAAAGGCACACAGGGTCTCCACCAGTTGGCTGTTGCGTTCGCTGAATTGTTCTGACATTTCACCAATGACAACATCCAACAGTGTTTTACACTCAGTCTCTTCTCCTCTGTCCTGCTGGCCTACTGTACTGTCCATTACGTATGTCTGGAGGTTTGTACTTACATACTGTAATATCGTTGTTTGCTTGGAGCCGGTGGTGGTGTGTCAGTGCCACTTGCACTGCACTGTGCCTAAATGGCTTCGAACTCACTGTCGCTCCTCAGCTTCTCGACACACTCCAACACACTGCGGACCACTTTGACTCCAGTGTAAATATCTGTTGCTTTTGCCTGGAGTAATTTGTTTGGAGGATCGAGAAGACTGAGGATTCTGTGCACCATGATGGCTGTAAACTTAAACCCGGGGTCTGTCACCGCCTTCAGCAACCTTGTAGCCTCGAGTCTTACTTCTGTGTTTTAGGAACGCATGTGTTTTTTTCTGCTTTTTATGGAAACCCAAAGGAGTCATACCTTACCACCCAGTGACTTTCCATAGCCCCCCTACACACACTGCGGCGTGCCCTGTCCATTGTGCTGACACAGCGCAATGGAGATAGATTATTTTTGCACCAATCTGTCACCCAATCATTGAAACTTTTTTGCTATTTTTATGTAGGGACATAAAACTTAAACTGAGGGGGCTAAAGTTTGAACTGAGGGGGCTAAGCCCCCTTTCGCCCCCTCGTGGATCCGGGTAGCTTCTTCCATTCTCATCTACAGTATAGTTGCAGATATCCTCTTTTACCCTTCTCGAGTAGGAAAAATTCATCAATCCAACATCCTTTGATTATAAATTGATTTAGCAAATAGACAGGCTGTCATTTACTGAGGGGGTATAATTGTATGAAGAATAGTAGACAGTGCATCAGTGACCAGCAAGGACAAACTCACACATTTCAGGTGAAGGGAGGGAAGAATGTTTTTCCTCTGTTGGTTGCAGGTGAAGACAGAGCTTGCGAAGAAACTGCAAAGCTGTAGGATGGAGATGGAGGTGGTGTGCTGTGGACAGTGACTAACCGAGACAAGAGTAGAACCATACTCCATCGCCACAGTTCCAGAGAACAATGGAGCTTCTACACCAGCAACAGGAGTCCAGCCCGATAGTCCTCCATCTCCACAGACTCAAAGTTCAAGAAAACAGGCTCGGAACACCTCCATGACACCAGAGTCTCTCGCTCAACTGCATTGTCTTACCACAACAGCGACCCTGGACAAGAGTACAGACTGCACACACCTAACTCATAATGAGACCACAGGGTCTAGTCCATCTATGCAGATGTCATTCCTCATTCACTTAAATGACCCAGTAGAGTTACCTCCACATGTTGTAAATATTTATTCAGATTAAAGGCCCAAATGCAGCCATTGTTATCCTAATATCAAATCATTTCTGGGTAACAACTAAGTACCGTACTGTAATAGTTTTCAATTAAAATGTTAAAAAAGAAACAAAAATAACTGTTCAGCAAAAAGCTATTTCAGAAACAAGATGTTTCCTAGGACTGTCTAGGAGTGGTCTGAGTGAGGGGCCTAATTGGAGGTGCCTAATGTAAACCTGAAAACTAGCTGTTTTTTTTCTATCAACTTATACCGTCTGGTGATTACGCCAGGCAAGACAAAACTCCACCCATGCAAAACCTGCTGATTAGAAGGTCCTGTGTAAATTGTATTTTCAACCTGCAACTAATTTTTACAGTGTTAGTTTAATCAGCTGTTGTACAATATGATACAAAACAGAATTTTGACTGCACTGGGCCTTTAAGTAAGATATTATTTGTGTGTCACTCTGTTGATGTACAGTATTTTAATGTATTTCCAAATGATGGGTGGTACAGTGCCTAGTGAAAGTCTACACATCCAACTCCCCCCCGCTTTAACATTACATCTAAAAAGGGATTACATTTTTAAAATCCTGCCGATCTACACAACCTACTCCACATTTTCAAAGTTAAAGAAAATGTTCCACAAAAGAAAAAGAACATGTCTAAATTGCATTTGTGTTCACACCCCAGAGTTAATTATTAGTGGAAGTACCTTTGGCAGCCATTACAGCTGGGAATCATTTTAAATAAGATTCTACCAACTTTGTGTAACCGGTGTCAAATGGCTAGCTAGTTAGCGGTGCGCGCTAGTAGCGTTTCAATCTGTGACATCACTCGCTCGGAGACCTTGAAGTAGTTGTTTCCCTTGCTCTGGAAGGGCCGTGGCTTTTGTGTAGCGATAGGTAACAATGCTCCGCATGTGTATTTCTCACCGTAAAGCATGGAGGAGGAGGTGTTATGGTGTGGGGGTGCTTTGCTGGTGACACTGTTTGTGATTTATAAATAAAGAAAAAACCTTGAATGAGTAGGTGTTCTAAAAATTTTGACCAGTAGTGTATATCCATTGTTTTTGTCAACATTGCTTAAGCTCAGTAAATTAGGTTGGGAGTCATTGATGGACAGCAATATAGAAACCTTCTGGCCTGGACCTCTCAGGAATACTCAACGCCTCTTGGAAAGCCATTCTGGTGTGTGTTTGGCATTAACATTTGGGTAACTGAAAAACAAAACTATACCAGGGTTAGGTTTTCAGAAGACTGAGGCGGGTTTTCCTCTAACTTTTTAACTGGGCTTTGCTCCTTTCATATTTATTTTGATCCTAACAAAATACCCCAGTCTCTGCCGGTGGCATACCCATAACATGATGCTGCCACCACAATACTTGAAAATAAATGCAAAGTTGGTAGAATGTTATTCAAAATTATTCACAGCTGCAATGGCTGCCAAAGGCTGCTTCCACCAAGTATTAACTCTGGGGTGGGAAGACATATGCAATCAAGACATCTTCATTTTTTATTAATTTGGAACATTTTTTCTCTCACTTTGAAAATGTGGAGTAGGTTGTGTAGATCGGTAGGGGGCAAAAAAATCACATTTATTTCCTTTTTAGATTTCATTTTAAGGCACCAAAATGTGAAGACTACAATACTTTTGAAATGTCAATAGATAAAGAGAAATATGACATTAAAAAATCATACTTTTTCCTGTTGTTGTCTTTCTGGAGGCCATGGGTTGGATAACTCAAACACGTTTGTGCTATTAATGCGTGTGTGAACCCTGAATATATCAGTCACTTTATGCAATTTAACCTTTTACCATATCATGTTTAGTGTGGAATTTATGATTAAAATGATCCTTATCCAACTCAAGACATTGGTCGGGCTCCCCTGCTCTAATGCTGCATGCATCAACCAATGGTTGCATGCCACGTCATCGACTGTGTCATCGACTGACAGATTGCTATAACATATGATGTGGTTTGCTGATATGTAAAATACCTATCCAGGCGTTGTAAGATCTGGAATGTGTCCAATAGAGCTCGCCAGCTTGTAGTCCTAAACACCGGAAAATAGTTACCTCTGGTTGTTCAGCCAAAGATTGTCTATTATTTTGACAAGATAGTCGAGTGACTGATCTAACAATGGAAATACATTTCCTCAAAGATGGAAGGCAGGCGGGAGGAGGTGAGATCAGGTGGGACCATTCTAGCAAATGAGAGAGCAGAAACACATGTGAACATGTATATGTGCTTTTACAGCGTCTGTGACAGCATGGGCAGCGCAATTGAGGCTAAAGTAGTCCATTTTCTTCTTCTTCATTTGCGGATTGCTCCCAACTCATAAAAATCCCCACCAATTTGACTACTTTAAAATGGTGGAAGACCTCAAAGGCAATGTCCATGCTAAAATGGGTTATATCCATAATAATATGCCATTTAGCAGACGCTTTTATCCAAAGCGACTTACAGTCATGTGTGCATACATTTTTGTGTATGGGTGGTCCCGGGGATCGAACCCACTACTTTGGCGTTACAAGCGCCATGCTCTACCAGTTGAGCTACAGAGGACCACCATGATGAGTCCTCTATCTATCTTCATGACAACAGGCACAACTCCAATATAAAGTAGTATTTTTCAGAGTTGCCGAAATGCCACTTGAGTCCACTTATATCAGTGCATTCCTAACCATTACCAAACTTCTATTTGATCAAATAAGCCCAATGTAGCAAATTAGCAATACTTTTTTGTTGTTGACCAAATTCGACCCTCATCTCATTGACCTCTATATAAAAATTCCTCACTTCATGGGTTTATTTCTGTGGACAGATTTTGGGCAGAGTAAATAAAACCTCTCGCTTCGCCTCATACTCGCTTGTTCAAATGGGGGAAAAATTGGGTTTTGGGATAGATGTCGAAAATAAGGTCTGAGGTTAACACAGGCTTAGGAGATCTGATACACTACATGACCAAAAGTATGTGGACAGCTGCTCGTTGAACATCTCATTCCAAAATCATGGGCATTAATATGGAGTTGGTCCCACCTTTGCTGCTATAACAGCCTCCACTCTTCTGGGAAGGCTTTCCACTAGATGTTGGAACATTGCTGCGGGGACTTGCTTCCATTCAGCCACAAGAGCCTTAATGAGGTCGGGCACTGATGTTGGGAGATTAGGCCTGGCTCGCAGTCAGCGTTCCAATTCATCCCAAAGGTGTTCAATGGAGTTGAGGTCAGGGCTCTGTGCAGGCCAGTCAAGTTCTTCCACGCTGATCTCGACAAACCATTTCTGTATGGACCTCGCTTTGTGCATGGGGGAATTGTCATGCTGAAACAGGAAAGGGCCTTCACCAAACTGTTGCCACAAGGTTGGAAGCACAAAATTGTCTAGAATGTCATTGTATGCTGTAGCATTAAGATTTCCCTTCACTGGAATTAAGGGGCCTAGCCCAAACCATGAAAAACAGCCCCAGACCATTATTCCTCCTCCACCAAATTTTACAGTTGGCACTATGCATTGGGGCAGGTAGCGTTCTCCTGGCATACGCCAAACTCAGATTTGTCCATCGGACTGCCAGATGGTGAAGTGTGATTCATCAATCCAGAGAACGCGTTTCCAGTGCTCCAGAGTCCAATGGCGGCAAGCTTTACACCACTCCAGCCGATGCTTGGCATTGCGCATGGTGATCTTAGGCTTTTGTGCGGCTGCTCGACCATGAAGCTCCCGACGAACAGTTATTGTGCTGACGTTGCTTCCAGAGGCAATTTGGAACTTGGTAGTGAGTGTTGCAACTGAGGACAGACGATTTTTATACTTAAGCACTCGACGGTCCCTAGACATTTCCACTTCACTTACAGTTGACAGTGGCAGCTCTAGTAGGGCAGAAATTTGAAGAACTGGCTGGTTGGAAAGGTGGCATCCTATGATGGTGCCACGTTGAAAGTGACTGAGCTCTTCAGTAAGGCCGTTCTACTGCCAATGTTTGTCAATGGCGATTGCATGGCTGTGTGCTAGATTTTATATATGTGGCTGAAATAGTCGAATCCACTAATTTGAAGGGGTGTCCACAAATTTTGTATATATAGTGTATGTTTTGTTCTATGAGATATCAGTCAGTTAACATTACCTTAATGAATTATGAAGCCTTTTTGTGCTTGTTTTGATTACATAAATGCTTCAAAATTCACAAAATGTGACGTTAGCTGATGAAGATTATCACATAGAGCAAAACGTATACGATCTCATAAACCTGTGTTTACCACAGACCTTATTTTCGGCGTTAATCCAAAAAACACCAAAAACCACATTAATTTGCACAACGAGCCATTGCGGAGTTAATGGCTACAAAAAGACGCCATTACTATTGCTCTCTATGGTCCTGAACTACTGCTCCCAGAGGCACCACGGGACGTAAAGACGTGTCTACGTATCGCCGTTAGAAACGGCGGCGGTTGTAGCGGGAGTGTACAGATTGCCATGCAAAAATCTGTTGTTTACATGGCGAAGAACAGAAAAAACCTTGCATGCACAAATTTAAAGGAAAATATGGAGTGAGACAAAACATGTACTTCTTTCGTAAAGCACGTTAAATGTTGATGGTACCTTTGTTACACACGTCGAGTTGATAACACAGCAAAGCCACAGTGGCTAGCCGGTATAGTAAATTTTTTTGCCAGATTTAATCAACAGGTGAATTACTAGCTAACGTTAGCTAGCTAATGTTAAGTAACTTGACAGGACTCCCCGACATATTTCTACAATGACGTCGAGAGGTAAAGGGTTTATTT